CATCAAACCTCTTAATAAATGTATGGCTTCCATAGTCGACCTACCTGGCATGAATCCAAATTGATTTTGAGAAAGACTTTGCTAGAAATTATTAAAATTGATCTTTATTATTATATTTAAATGAGAATTTGACTCTTAAAATCTTGATGTTATTGTTGTTGTTGTACATATAATATTAAAATTTTATATTTATTTAGAAAAATAAAATAAAAATTTTAAATTGTATTAACGCTTTATTTGGAATAGGTTTTAAACTATTTTTTTATAAGAAAAATAGTTAGTAAAAAAATAATGTTCTTGGAAGATAGTTTTTTCACAATTATTTTAAATTTTTATCTTAAAAAAATTGTATTTTAAAAATATTTTAAAAATTGCGATTGAAAGTGGCTTTAAAAAGCAAAAAAAAAAAAAAAAAAAAATGTACTTCCGATTTTCATGGTCACATGACTTCAAACCACTATCAGTTGACTACGGTCTTTGAACGACCATCGTCTGACTACGATTCTCATCTTTTGGCTATGATCATTCCAATATCTCTTACCAGCCGATTGTGATTCTCCGACCATCATCGTCTGATGATGATCTTTCGACCTCCATCAATCTCCCAATTACTGCCCTCCAACCACAGTTTCCAACAATCATCCCACGATGATGGTTTTCGAACCATCTTGGTCTGACTACAATCCTTCGAACTACTGGTGGACCACTATGATTTCTTCAAATTAACTATCGTTGCCTAACTATACAACTTTGGCCATTGTCCTCTGACTATGATCAACGAACCTACAACCTTTTGATCATTATTGCGTGTCTACTCTTTTGCCTACTAATTTCATCATCTACCACCATTAGTAATGCCAACACACGTCATCATTTATAAGGTTAATGCACACCGTCAATATCAACTCTAGCTCTCAACTTTAGCACTTGGATGTATGTTGGATTCCTGCCAAAGTGCTCTTCCAACTTTAACCAAGTAATATGCTTTTTAAAGCTCATCCATGTTTTCCCAAGTAAGGCCATCATTTATAACCAATGATAAATGATAGTGGAAAAAAACTAATACATATATATATCTATATATAAAGAGTGGAATAATTTTAATTGGTTCGAGCTGTGTGATATATATATATTTTTGGCTTCTCACATAAAAACTCTAATGCCACATATAATTATTGTACTCCTCTCTTATTTTGTGAGTGCACTGGATCTTCGTAGAAAAACTAGGATGTTAAACTTATATATCTCTACCGCTGAGAAAATACGGCATTTATAACTAATAATTTAGGATAGCGAAATAATTGTAAATGGGTCAAACCCCGCGGTTTTATTTTTTTATTTTTTGGATTTTATCTTTTTTTGGGCCTTCTACATAAAAACTCTGAAGAATTATAATTCTTGCAATTCTCTCTTATCTTTATCTTTTATGTGTAATCGACCTTCATAAATACGTTCATAATTTAGTTTAGTTCCCTCTACATCTACTCTTTCTAAGAATTAGAGTTATGAAAAGGGTACAAATAAATGTAGAGAGGCTCAAAAAAACTGCTAAATAATAAAATTTACTACACTCATGTGAATATCAGCGCCAGCTCTTCCATATGAACAGCGAATGCAAATGAACTCTCCAAGCTACAAATGGTAAATTTATTACTAACAGAATGCGAGAAGGCAAATACAATCAATCTGATTCTATAAGCACATATAATGGCTTTCCATTTAGCTCTTTAAATACAATAAACTCTTCAGGTGAATTATAGAAAGAGATGCGTCTGAAAAATCTAAGAATGATTTTAATGCTTCCATCTACCAAATTCAATAACTACTTCAGTATCAACAACTAAATGGTTTAAAAGGTAAAAAACAAGCTGAAGTACTGTGTAAGGTATTGATCAGATCTATACATGATTCCTTAAGGCGTCTTATATAAAGGCACGAGGCACATCCCTTCGGCTGACAACTTGTCTTGCATTTCCACAGAAGCTAGCAAGACATACAGATATTCATCTTCCTTTCTACTTCCGCATTCCTGCACACTGAGAGTGGTTAGTTCAAGAACAGCAAGCTGGGCTTCGAGAAACTTTATATATTTATATGCAGACTGGAACATATCCGCAGTGCTCAACTTTATGCCGCCGGGGATATGCCGGGCAAGCTCCTGCGTCTTCCCGCTGATCCGCATTCGCCGCTTCCTTGCTGCCACACTCTGAGCTGACAAACTGAGAGGAGGAGCACTGCAGCGGCCAGGAGCCATTGTAGGATATACATTTGGCTCAAAAAGCTGTGGTGGCGGCTGCTGCTCCAAAAGCGGTGGCGGTTGCTGTTGAATGTAGTCGGCCATGAAGTCGTTTTGAAAGAGAGCTTCAATGGAATGGAGAGAAGGATCGTCGTCGTTGAGGAAGCCAATGAGAGCTTCTGCTACTTCCGAATTCACTTCGAAGTGATCCATCGATCCCTCCTAATTCAAACAAAAGAAATAATTAGCTTAAAGAATTTAACAAACTGTTACGGTATTGAGATCGCTGCTATCGAAATATATATATTTTTTATTTTGGAAAGCACGAACAGCAATAAGAGAGCTCTATTTCTTGGCTTTTACTTGTCCAAAAACAAAACAGAGACCAATAAAATAATGCTTTATTACCCTAAACTGGACAATCTAAAGAGAAAATCATAAGGAAATGGCGACGATCTTAAGACGAAAAGGTACCTGCAGGAGGCCAAATGCTGAAGACAGTAAAGCTCCCAACAGGAATTTCCAACCTGAATACCTGGAGGCACGCGAGAAGGAGATATAGCTCGACCGTTAGAGAAGAACCACTGCCGGTTACACTAACGGCCAGTTAGTTACGTTATACCGACCATTTGCCGCCCGTTTTGGAGTACATTTATGACCGTTTGATCATTAAGATCAGACGGAGATCAATCCATGGCTTCGAATAAAGCAAAAAATTGTATCAAATCTGAACATTTTTTCAGATTTGTTAATTTGTTTCGTTTCTTGATTTCTCTATTTTGAGCAATTTTCATATTTATTTTTTCTCTTTTTTCTCGTATTTTTATATATCTTTTTCACAATAATCAGATACATTTGTACATTTCTTTTAAAAATTTTGATCGAAAAATCAATCATTTTTATTTTGGATATATATTTTTGAAATTTTGTTATGATAAAATTATAATATTGCTGACTTCATTAAATTTTGTGATTGGATTAATTATAGAAAAAATAAATAAATTTTCAATACTTGTACCATTTATCTTTGTTTCATAATTTTATGGAGAGTATGGAGAGTGAAAGTCAAATACTAGCGTAAAATATGCTAAGAAAAAAGGAAAGAATCAAAATCCTCACTCTTTATTTGTAGGGTTTAGAGGGTTACATAAAAGACTGCACACGTTAAAAATAAAATTATATTATAAATCATATCCTCCTTGTAGATTGTACATGACACGTGGCATAAACTAGTAGGTACTTTTGTGGCTTTATATCTTTAATATAGCTCTTAGTTCTAGTGCGTAATGAGTTATACAAACCAAGTATGTATTGTTAGTCCCCTAGACACGATAATGAATCCTTAGATGCTACGCTTCGCCCCCTAGGCACTTGGGGGCAAGTTGTTTGACATGATGTAAATCAAGAGCTAAGAATTGTATGTTCACTACTTGTGGTTAGGGGTGTCAATTTCGGGTCACAGGTCTGGTCGGGTCGAATCCGAAATTGATCCATCACTATTTGGGTCAACCCGAACCCGACCTATTTTTGCAAACGGGTCGATTTTCAGAACTCGGACCCAACCCGCTTCGGGTCCAGGTCAACCCGACACGACCCGAATGGATCAATCTTTGCTTTTCGGATAAAAAACGGATCAATTTCGGGTCGAACGATCGCTTGGGATGACTTTGGTCATGTTCCTGGCTTGCACATGTCTTAGGTATATGATGTGATGGTCTTTTGAGAATTATCCTATTAGAACTTGCTAATTATCTATGAAATGTCAGCATGAATGTGTTTGAGCATGCATTAATTGTTGTAGATTTGGGTCTAATTTAGTGCAAAATCAAGATTATTGGAGGATACATTCTTAAAAACAAATTAACATTAATTTCAAGAATTATATAACATATAAGTACATCTAGCTAGTTTAGCTATGATAATTTAAATTTAAAGTATAGGATTAAGCACACATAATATGAAATGAATAGTCATTAACAAATAATTTAACTTTACTATCAAATCATTTGTTGAGATTGTTAATGAGAGATATTGCATACATTTATAAGGAGATCAACAAGAAATTTACAAGAAAACAAATGAGCCTAAAAGAGAGATAAAACAATGGAAAACAATAGAATTTTATGCTACATCTGCAACCCATACAAATCTGTGAGCAGGAAATCTACAAATAGTTTTCGGCTTCGTTTGGACAGTTTTTTTCTGCTTCTTAAAGCAGCTTATTAGAATAAAAATTAGGAAGTTGCTTTAAGAAGCAATAATAAAGCCGTCTCAAATAAATCTTAGAGTAGCCAACAGCAGCTTCTTTCCTTGGTCACAGAGCTTGACCACATATTTTCTTGAAGCTGTAAGGCCTAAATTCTCCCAAACGGCAAGGAGAAATTCACAGCAACAGAAGGCCTCAGATTCTTCTTGTTCTTATATTCTCCCAAGTGGCGACTCATGAGCATATTCTTCAACAAACCAGAGCCCAGAATCATGGAAACGTCTAATCTTCTTTTCAAATCCTGTAATATAGTTATTGTGGATGATCACATGTTTCCCTTTTGTTTCCTTGACCCAGGTTCCATTTTTGAAGTACAGGCCTCCTGATGGGAAAGCAACCTGAGGAAGCAAATACATATCTACCTGCAGAGATTAACCAAAGTTTATAGAGATGTTTGTGGTCCAGAACACTAAGGTCCTGGAGATGCCAAGGCTCTGAAACTAAGGCTTCATTTGGGACGACTTTCTTATTGCTTTTTAAAGCAGCTTTTAAGTTAAAAAATTAAAATTTTTGTACTAGAAAGCTGCTTTAAGAAGCAGCAAAAAAGTCATCCCAAACGAAGCCTAAGTTAACTAAAGCATCAAATATGCAGTAATTGATCTTGTTTATATGTACAAAAACAACTTAGACATTGCAAAACAAGAGGTTCGAAGGCCTTGGATTTCTATCCAAAATTCGTTTAGGATGGAAAAGAATATACAAAACAATACCAATCAAAATTTTATGTGGAATAACAAGGACATACTGAGTTCAAATTTTGCAAAATTTCACATTGATGTAGTTAGGATGCAAAATATTCCCAAGAATATGATATCCCCTGATCAAAGCATTGATGTAGTAAATTTTTTAATGCTTAAGTAATAGTAAATTAATTAATTATTATCCCAACAGAGATTTGCTTATATTAAAATATATTAGAGTTTTTAAAATTTTTTGTCAAGAGTCTTAACCATTTATGAAAATTATGAACAATCACATCTATTCATGATTTCTGGACCAATTCCTTAAACTAACACAGTCCGCAGAAATATATACTATGTTGTATATACAGCTGCAGATTATTCAACAAAAGTCACATCCAACACACAAAAAATTGAGTTCTAAGTTTATAGATTCTACTCTTAATAAAGACCAAAATAATCTAAAAATCCTGAATGAAACAAACTGCTTCAAAACTTTTCCTCTGTCCTTAAATAAAAAAATTACTCTCAAAAGTCAAAGTTATCATTCAAAGATAGAGCAGCCAACTCATTAGAAAACACCTTATTGGCTGCTGTTGCTGAGCAACATTACTCAGAACTTCCATTTCTTCAATAAATTTGGCATTTAGGGCATCAGGTGATTCCACCAAATGAAGTACCTCAATTTGGTCCATCTCCAGAAGCATTCTCATCACTTTGGCGTCATAGTCTTTGATGAGGACATCAATCAGAGGTTCAAGCATGTTTATCGCCGTAGGCAGCGCAGATCGACGGCCACGATTCAGAGTTTATATTTCTAGATATTTATGCATTTTTCTTTTATTTCTTGGAGTTTCCTATTGTACCCTTAGTATGAGTATTGTCTTATTGTAGTCCAAAGGGCATTTGAGTACTTTTATTTCTTTATGTTGGAAGACCTATATATAGTGGTCTCATGCTATGTAAAAGACTAATGAATATTTGAATGAAAATTGTTTTGTTTCTACTTCTTCTTCTTGCATGAGAGCTTGAGAAGGGAGAGAGCTCAAGGGGAGCAAATCGCAAGGCCCACCAGTCGTTGGAAGAGTCTGCGGCTCGTGGTTAAGTTATTCTATCTTCTCGTTCGCATCTCACTCCAGCAGATTTCATCCTAGATCTACTTGGTTCTTGGTGTGAAACACTTGGAAATCCAAGTGTTTCCTATCACATTCTCATAACTTTGGCGTCATAGTCTCGCTCCAATTCCAGCCCTCATGTAAGCAATAGAAAAAAAAAATCCAAATCTCACCTCTAACAGAGAAACATTTACTCCAACAAGGAGAAGAAGGCAAAGGATAAATTAAAGGCAAATAATAACAGGAAAACCACTCATCTTGCTTCCAGCAATATATATATAGAGAGAGAGAGAAATATTTTAGTGGAAAGGTGAAAAGATTAGCTTCCTTGCTGGAATTTTTATGCCACGTTTTCGTGAACAAAATTTTGTTTGGTACCTCATTTAGAAAATTGAGAAGATAAAACAGTTGATGCCAAGAAGGAAACTTAACTTATTTATTGGATTACAGCCTTTGTGGAACTCCAATACTTTGTCATTTTGATATAGATTAGTATTTCTGTCCTAACTTACATGCAGATAATTAATATCAATGCTTATTGCATTTGGCCAAGGTTCATACATTTTGATTGCAATTTGAATATTTCAATAGTAGAATAAAAATTTCTAATAAAAAGAAAATATTGGCGAGGGCTTTTACATTCGGTAAAAGAAGAATTATATAGCTTACCTCCATGACAAATGGAATTAAAATGTTAGATGCATAAAATTTCTGTTACTTTTAGCTAAGCAGTAAGATTCACAAAAAATAAAATAAAATAGCAGTGAGGTAAAAAAGGAGAAGTAGAAAAAATGTAGGGTACGACAACCACCTGAAGCAATGGCAGATAGTTGAAGGAGCTGACGATCGGAAGAACTTAAGTTTAACCACTTGAAATAGGAAGAATAAGCAGCCTGGAGGTGGATCTGGGGTGGTGAGGGTTGGTAGGTATGTCGGATTCAAGTAGGAGGATAGGCCGACGGTCGCAGACGTGGGCTGGGACTGTTTTCCTGAACTGATTGGGAGTAGGCTGCTTTGTGGATGCCGTGGTCGGGCAGGAGTTCAACCCTAGCTTGCAGAGTACAGGCGACTCGAGAGTACTCCGGATGGAGCGATATTAGAAGAAATGAAGGTAATTTCTCGTGCAACTTGCTGCTTGTTGTATTGTTTAAACCACATCATAAACTTATGGTGAATGCTTATCAAAGAGGCTAATTTTGAAGCTAGCATTAGCTATCAAATGGCTTCACCATCAAGTGTATCTTATGGCTCACAACCCATAGGCTTAGCCATTGAGAATACTCAGGTTTGGCCACTTGTCCAAGCTTCATGGGTTCAATGGCATGATTTAGGCCTGATAATGTAGCATGAATGAAACTTTTCACATTGTTATCACATACGACTTTCTAGTTTGATCATCTGAATAAACTAGATGTAACAATGGTTTTTGTGTTCTTGGATCAGACCAAACGGTATCACTCTCGTCAAGTTGATGCAAGTGATGGATTGATAGATGCTTGGAGAGCAATGTAATAAATTATTTCTTAAGCTAAATTTTGATGGTGTTACCTCATATATATATATATATATAACTTGAAGGTTTATCTTGAAATTTAAGAAAGCATTTCCAAGACGAGGATCCTCCTCTTCCTAATACCCAAGCGAATTATCGAGGAGGAAGCCCCAAGTTTAGCTTATAACTAAGAGGACATGTTTAACAATAGGATCTCCTTCTGTTAGGATTGATAATAATTATATCCATTATAAGGAAGAATAATGATTGAGAGCTTGATTTTGATGGTGAACACCTTCGGCTATGCTTTGTAATAATTATGCCCAATATAAGGGTAAGAATTTAAGTGTTTTGTTTGATTTCGTATAGAGAGCATAAATGAATAATTTCATTAAAAACTTTAATTATGATATATAATAATTGCACCTATCATCGAGAGATTGGATTCTTCCTTTCTTGCTTTATTTATGAGGTACATTAGTGCTAATTTCACAAATTTCTCTAGTCATAATTTTTTGATAATCAAATCTATCATCACAAAGAAGAAAATTTCAAATTATGCAAATAGTGTTGCAACACCACATGTTTTTATATTTTGCAAATAGTGCAACAGGCGCGCTACTCTATCCTATGGGCTATAACGCACACAATTTGTATGAAACAAATATAGTGTCATATACTCCATATATTATGCACAATAATGCACATAACACACATAAATAATTACATCTGGTTATGCTAATAGCATAATAGGTTTGCAACACTATCTTATGGGTATAGCACACGCTATTTGGTATCCATTGATAATTATGCCAAACACTCTATCGGCATCTTTTGCTCAATCTTATATATCAAGAGTCAAAATCCTTAAAGATAAGCTAGATTTAACATGGGATATAAAAATATATTATTAATATTATTTCATATCTAGATGGCTATAGCATAAAATTTTATGTTATATATATATAAAGCAATGGTAATAGTAGAAGGGGGTGATGCCTGCCACACCGACAAGCACCAAGAAAGGTTGCACTTGATTAGGGTGACAAGAGAGAACACATGATAAAAGTGCTAGACGAGGTGAACGTTGTTGGAGGTGCCAAGAGTAGTGACAGTATCGAGGCAACCACAAGGTGGTTCCAATGAGGAATCAAGAGAGGTGGTGTTTTCCAAAGAAGTGTCTTAAGATGTAGATCCCATCAAAGGCATTAGGAGAGGTGGAGCCTTTTAAGGGCAACAGGATTAGTGATGCCTACTAAGGGAACTAGGAAAGGTAGAGCATCATAAAGGTATCAGAAGATGCAAAGCCTAACAGGGATGCCAGGAAAAGAGAGGCCTAACAAGATTGGGAGTACTAGGAGATGTGGGACCTTATAAGAACACCATGAGAGATTTTTTTAAATGGTCTTTTGAGGCGCCAAAATGTGACACAATGGGCCAAGGGATATCATGCCTGACAGTGGCACCATATAACTCTTTTTTTTTTCTAAATGAGATGCGTACAAAATATAACAACATTATTTTCCAATTTAAATTTAATTTGAAACCAAAAACTAAGTGCTTACTACAAATTTTCTATCAAACATGCCATGTATATCATTTCCATCAATTATGATTACATTCAACCTTTTATGATGCCTACTCTTGTCATCCCCAACAAGTTAACATAGATATATCACATGCATTATTAAAAAACTTGCAAAAGATAAATGTGGTCAGTTAAGTTGGGATGCATTTATTGTCTAAATGTCTAAATGAAAAACTTTTTGACTAACTGAAACATTGAAGAGATGACAACAGCTTAGATACCTGGCCAGCTGTTTTGTTCAAAGCCCAGTTAAAAGCAGGTTGGTCATTTGATCTGCTCTTTTTAGACCATGGCTGAAGTTGAAGTTCTTCGATCCATTTCATCAGCACAGCTTTTGCCCCATCTGTTGGACGGAGGAAGATCATGCAGCTACAAATATATGTTCTTCCTTTCTTCCCAGGTTGTGGCAAGTTATGCGGGTGATTAAAAGGCTTCACCTTTTAGTTCCAGAAATAAAAAGAAATCAGCACTATACCTCACAAGAAAACAAACTGCTTCCAACATGATAAAGATTAAGAAAAAAAATGAAGAAATGAAGAACTTACAACGGCCATGTCATCGGTGAAGTAAACATCATGACGACCTTCCAAATAAGGAAAAGGATCAGCCAGCCAAACCATATCCACATCATTATACATCACATTGTAACCTAGCTCCAAAATATCCAGCAAATGCCTTGGCCTCCGAGATGTAAAATTGAAGAAACCCTAATTAAAAGTGCATCAACAATAAGCAAAACGCAGAAGAAAGAATTTCAAGAATCGATTTTGGTTGAATCCACACCTGGGATCCAAATTTATGAGCGCTCTGGGTATCAGGAACGGGAGGGATAAGCACGGCGTGACCAGGCCATTTCTGATTGACAGTGTATAATGTAGCATAATCCTCGGCGATGACAAGGACTTCATCCTGATGCTTCTGTCTGGCGATGCTGATGAGCCAGTTTTGAAGAAAGGGTAGATAGGGTTGGCTCACCGCGCAAACGATGATGGTTCCGTTCTTTCCGCCCACGAACGCCGCGGCTTGAGTTAGGGTGTACTCTCGCCAATGGGAGAGGGCGGAAGAGGAAGAGGAGGAGAAGAGGAAGGGTGTAATTGGGCGGATCCAGGGCATGAAAACGCAGAGGAGGAGAATAAGGGAGAGGAGAAGGAGGAGGAAAAGGAGGCCCGAGCGGCCGAAGAGGGAGGACGTGCGATGATGGAAGACATAGTTGAAGGAGGAAGAGCGAGGGGAAAGGGGGAAGGCGTCGACAAGAGGCTTTTGCTGTTGCTGTCTTTGATGGAGAAATGTAGTCATGGATAGACAGATCTGTCAAGGGGTTTTCAAGTTGGGGAAGTAGAAGATCTCGAAGTGGGTCGAAGAAGGGATCGATCGCCGTAAAGATGAACGGAAAGCTTGGATTTTTACGATCTTCGGAAGAAAAGGGGAAAGGGAAAAGATGAAAGGGAAAGTGCTTCGCAATATAATTATTACTCAAATTATTAGATAATATAATTAATTATTAAATAGATATTATTCATTTCTTAAATAAATACAAATAAATTATTATGAATTCACTATAAATTAAATTAAAATTTTTATTAAATCTAAAAATTATGAATGTTAATTGTAAATGTTGAAAAGGTTATGAATGTTAAAATGTTGATAATTATATCAATTATGCAATAATTATGTATTTTAAATTGGTTGTGATAAAGATGGAGAATCTAACATATAATTTTTTATTAGGAAGATGGTAATTTAAAATTTTTAGTTAATTATAACTAATTTAAATAAATATAAATAATTTTTTTTATATGATTAAAAAAATAAAGATTGCATAAATTTCTTAAGCAAATGAGTGATAAAAGAAATATAATGTTATCAATTCAAATATTTCATTACTATGGGATGGGAATAAAAATAAGAATACAAATAACATGACCCTTAGAGCTTAACATCTACTACGGGCGGTATTCGTTTGAGGGCGAGAGAGGAACGAAAGGGAAAACGAAAGCGATGCTCAAGGTCACGAGTCACGAGAGAGGAGCAAAAGGGACAACGAACCATTGATGCTTTTCAGGTGTCCAGAAAAAGATTTTAGTGGCTTTTCTGGATTAATAAAACTTTAAAAGAAAGAATTACAAAAATTAGAGTAGGTTTCCTCATTGACGAACTTGTTGCTCTATTAAGCCAGTAAAACAATTAGTTTTAAGCCCCTTTAGACTTTCAGTTTTAGCTTTAGCCAAATCCTCTAGAGGAGATCTCTCGTCCACAATGAAAAGTCATTCCTTCCTCTCTCTTTCAATATATTACCCCATTAGTCCTCTCTCTCTACAGCTAAAGCATTGCATGGTTAAATTTTTTTTTTTTTTCGGGGGGCACATGCTCCCCTTGCCCCCCTAACTCTGACTATGGATGTGTGCAAAAAACATGAGTTGTGAACAACATGAGGGATATCTCATAAAAATTTTGAACTATTTTGAATTTTTAGAATTTTATATTATTTCTAATTGTATTATGATGAAAATTTAAATTATTAATGACATATAGCTTAAAAAATCATGAGAAAACTTAAAGAAGTTATGAATAATATTAAAAGCTTTCTATATATAGAAATGTGATCTCATTTATTTTTCATTTTAATTTGCTAAATTTTTTGTATTATTATATGGTCTTATTTTTATTTTCTTATTAAATCAACTCCAAATTTGATGAAATTTGTCAAAGATGCTAGAAATGATCTTATCACAATCTCCTATAAATTTAGAGTCAACTAATGGTATTTTTTATTTATTATGATATATTTTATTTATTGATATAAATACTTATATTTATTATATGTAGGGGTGCAACTGAGTCAAGTCGGCTCGCGAGCTCACTCGAGCTCGACTTGGTAATAGTCTCGACGAGTCAACCTTATTTAGCTCATGAGTCAAGCTCAAACAAAATTTTGAGCTCGACAGTTTATCGAGCTTGAGCTTGAATAACTCACTGCTCGACTCACGAACTCGTCAAGCAGCTCGAGGATGAAATCGCCAGTAGGGAAATGAAATAGCGCACTGGAAAATGATGGATGCTGGCGATGGATTGACACTAGCGATGGATGGAAGCTAGCAACGCGAGAAGCTTGTGATGACACGGACATTATAACTATGGATGTACTGAGCTCGAAATGCTGCTAATGCAGCTTGATGAGGTTTTTTTTCCTCTGTTGAGTCAAGCTCGAGCTTGATATTTGACAGTCATGCTCAACTTGAACACCCTATGACTGAAGCTCAAGTCGACTCGTTTGCACCCCTAATCCTATGACATATATAATCATTAACATAAAAAATTTTAAGTCAGGTATGTATTTGATAACCAGGTTGACAGAGTAAATAGACTTTGTAAAAAACCTGGCATTTGTCTCTAATAGACACAATATTATCACCTTTTTTGTCTCTAATATACAAAAAAGTCTTAAGAACACATCCATAGCATCTTTTCTTGAGCATTAAATTAGTTTTGAGAGATAGGCTATTACTTTTTTTCCTAGAAACTAATATAACTTTATGATTACTTTGATATTTCTATGAGCTTCAATAATATTACGAAGAGTGAACAGTCTTATCTAATATCTACATTGCTAGAATTTTCTTTTTTTATATATAAATATCATTTATCATTTTAATATGTGATAAATAATTTTAAAATTAATAATATATTTTACATAAGTATTTAATTAGTAAGATATTATAAGTCATTAAAAATTACAATAAATTTAAAAAAGTTCAAAAATTATTAAAGAATATTCAATAAAATTTTTACAGTATGCAATATATTTTATAATGATTTTAGAAAAAAAATATATAAATAAATTTTAATTATAATCACCATCCTTGAGATCCTGATTATTCTAAATCAATTTATATGATACATTTTTAAAACACATAGAAAGAATATATATATATAATGCATGAAACCATAAAAAAAATCTCAATCAATAATCATCACACTCATTGCATGTATCCTCAAATGTACTCATGAGCACAATGCAACTTATTTAATCTGATTTTGAGCATAAAAAGAAATAGCGGTGACCAAGAGTGACACAACTCATCGTCACGATCTGTTGCGTGATGAACAAACAACTAGTTAGACTCAATCAAGCTGCTTTCTTTTCACTCCAACGGATGAATGAATGGTTGGTTTTTGTTCAAATGTTTGTTTTGATGAGCAGCCTAATCCAAAATTGATTGTAACCTTATTTGTAATTGATGCTGCAGAATTAACATGTTCATCAGCCAACACTCTCCAGCTATTAATGAGACTTTGAGCAAGTTTTTGAATCCTGCTGGACTTATGCTTTCGCATAGCACGCACTGTTCTTTCAATTTTAGTTGTCTTTAACACATCAAAAGATAATTGCATTTGTCGTAGAGTCCTCAGCGATTCATACAAGATAGAATCTGATTCAGACTCATGTAATTGATTGCTAGACAAGATCACCTCCTTTATCCTCATCACCTCTCCAACTATTTGATCATCCTCCTCGGGGTTGTCGGAGTTGGAGCTTTTCTTCGCCTCCTTGAGAGATTCAGCATCGCCATTATTGTGAGAAAGATGACAGGTGTAAAGCTTCTCCACAATCATATCCCTTCGATCCTTAAATTCATTGGGGAAATCTTCAGCAGCCACGAGAATTGCTTTGTTGATCACCTCGAATATGTCTGATCTCGTGCAGCTAAAAATTTTCCTCCAGTAATCTAGTGACCTTTTTGCCTCCGCCATTTCCATCAAAGAAAAAAAAAATCACAGCTTTAAGTAGAATATTCTTCTCACTCTTTCACTAATCAAAGTGGTAGAGATATATAGGGAACATAACAATAATAAAATTTTTTATTTTCCAATATCGGTTAAATACTTTCTTGTTCTAATTTGATCCATAATGTATGGAGAAATGAGCGAACTAACATAAACAGATGGCATCTTTGCCATGTTTTTTTAAGAAATTGTTGAATGGGCTTTCCTTAAAGAAAGCATGAAACTCTCTTCATAGCTTGCCAAATGTACGGTTGTTGTAAATAAAATACATGATAGATTATTTAGGCTGATTATATATTACTTTAATGATAATATATATTAAAAAAGGATTAAAGTTATATGTCTTATTTTTATACTTTGAATAATTTTAAGCCTAAATGAAGAAAATCATAAAAGAGATCATAAATTATTTTAGATATTTCAAAGTTAGTTAACTTTTGGTCATTTAATATCCTAAATTTAAATTACTTTAGATATCCAATCACTATTAGTAAACACAGGGGCTCCTAAAATTCGTGCCCCGGCTTGATTTCAAGGGAGTTTTAACGAATTAAGTTCTGGAATAAATTTTTCAGAAAGCAGAATGGATTTGAAATAAGACACTACCCAGAGATTGCACCCTCATTTTGTGAGGATTTTAGATATGTTTTTTGGTTTCCTGTAGCGCAAAGCCTATAGTTAATTACCCCTATCAATAACAAGAGAGAAATTTCAATTAAGGCTATTCTTCAATTAGATATGTGTATATGACATATAGTAGCAACATGAGTTTGAGAATTTTAAATTTAAAGATCAAAATTTTCACCATCTTGTACTTAAAGCGGATGGTGGGGGAAGTAATGATGGACTCCATCAAGATCTCATGATTCCGTCGTCTCGGGCCATCGTGGTCCCTAATCTACTTAATTAGATATCACTGCAGTGGAATTTCTGGTAGAGATACAATATGAGGTACCAATTTTAACAAGTACATAATGATTTTCTTCATTTTTATTGTCATTTTAAAAAAAAATCTGCTCCTAAGGTCAACAAGAACGCACAATTAAATTGACTCGATCGATGGCTCTTGAGGCCAACAATAGTCTTGAATAATGGAAGACTAACCTAAGGATTAAAAAGCACATGTAAAGGTCTATTATCAATTAGAAAAGTGCAAATAAAAGATTATCTCCATTTTATCTACTAAAAAAAAAAGTGGCAGGCATGAGAGTCGAGATTATAATACAACAAAAATAAGACATTCATACATAGGCAAATTTGGCATATAAATAAATCAGTTCTTCAGTCACATTATCATATAAAATAATGATAAAGAATAACTACAGGAAAATCGTCAAAAACCGGCGGCTTAGATGGTTAAACCGGCGGTTTTCAAAACTAATGGCGGCTTTTCGGCGGTCCTCAAGCCGCCGGTAAAAATGGCGTAGGAAACAATTAACAGCGGTTTATTTCCGGCGGCTAACACTGCCGGTGATTACCAGATTTTGTACCGGCGGTGTTCCGATTGTTGAGCCACCTGTTATTTTACCGAAGGCTAACCGGCGGTCACTTCACCGACGTCATGCAGGCGGTTACAGCGGCCGTCGTGCGTTCGATCAACCGCCGGCTAGCGTCGGTTTACCGCCGGAAAATTGCCGGCGGTTACCCGGCGGTCATGGTTTCTCATGTGACTCCATTGGTATATCATGTGGATCTATAATTTTTATCATTCGTTGCTTCTTTGCATTTTCTATTCTTTGATATCCTTCATGAAGGTTCCATTTTGCAATCTCCAGTTTGATCGACGCATCTGAAGCTTCCTTCAACTGCTCTCTCTTCACTCCAGCAGATAAATGCCCACTTGGTTTTTGTTTCAAAGCTTGTTTTGACGAGTAGACAAGTTCAAAATCTGGTTTGTTAAGCTTGCTAATATAATAATATGTAATATTATTTTCAGAAGTTGCAGCAATAGGCTTAGCCCATTCATCAACCACCGCTTTCTAACTTTTAATGAGAGTCCTAACAAGTTTTTGAATCTGCATACAGTTGTGTTTTTGTAAAGCATTCACAGTTCTTCCAATTTTAGTTGCCTTCAGAGTTTCAACAGACAATTGCATCAATTGCAGACTTCTCAGCGATTCATACAAGAGTGGATCAGACTCATACAAGTGATTATTGGAAAGAATCTCCTTTATCTTCATCACCTCTCCAACTATCTGATCATTCTCTCCGGGCTTGTCACAGCTTTTGGAGCCATATTTCTCCTCCTTGGGATGTTCAACATCACCATTATTGAGAGAAAGATGGCAGTTTTTGATCTTCTCGACGACCAGATCCTTTCTTTCATTAAATTCCTTTGGGTAATCCACCATCGCTACAAGAATCGTTTTGTACATCAACTAAAAAATATCTGATTTTGCACAGCCGAAAAATTTTCTCCAATAATCCAGTGAAGCTTTTGTCTTCGCCATTACTATTGCCACAAACAAAGATCTCTACTTTCCTAAGAAATTTCAGTTTTGTATGTAAAAATATGTCTCAATCTTTCAATGATTAGAAATAGGAGAAACATTAGGCAATAGAATAATCCAATAAAAGATTTGATCACTTCAATATCACATAAATACCATATCATTCTAATTTGATCCATAATATTAGGAATAATAAATGTTTTCCTTAAAAGATGCCAAAAACTCTTTTCATAATTATATTTATGAAATAATTAAATTTAATAATTATGCTAAATTTATACAATTTTTATGCCAAATATGTTAAAAATTGATTAAAATTTATATGCATCATAATTATATGACATTGAATAATTTTGAAAAAATAATATATAAAAAGATTGTATTTATTTGAAAATTTACCAGAATTTAGTAAGGAATATAATTTGACAAAGAATAGCATAATAAGAGAAAGGGCACCAAAACTATTAGAAGACATTTAGAGTGTAATTATAATAAATGTTATGAAATAATGAAACATCTTGGGAGGTTTCAAATAAATAAAATATTTATCATATTTTTAATAATTTCTAAAACTAATTTTTAGTCAAAAAAAATCTTGAACTAAAAATTTTTGTACTAGAAAGCTGCTTTATAAAGCAATAAGTAAGCCATGCATCCGTCAAACAGCTTTCTTACTGTTTTGTAAAGCTGATTTTAGTATAAAATTCTCTTGAAAGCATGAAAAAATAATGATCTAAACCTTCATCTACCATATTCTAACATATTCATAGCCTATTTGACATTAATAAAATCATGTTAGATTAATGTTTCTTAGCTATTAATACAATTTTTGTTAAACAATATATTTATGTACTAAAAAATTGTTTTAGAAAGCATTAACAAAACTGTCCCAACCGAAGTTAAATTCGTAAAGTTATATCTACTATAATTGTTCTTCGAATTTATTGTGTTATTGAGAATATTGAATAAACTATATTGAACATTTTTTGAATAATTCAAATATTATTTTATTTGAACTAATTTCATTCTTGTTCAAAAACAAGTTGAATGAGAATTATTAATGTTTGATTAGTGTTTGTACATTGTTCAATGCATGTACATAATTTTTATTACATATGGCCTCAACATTGATCAAATTGAACCTTATTTAGATGTTATTCGAATCAATTTTGATGTAATTAATAAATTTAATGAAATGATTTAATTTTCAAGACATGTAAGTGATAAAATTAATAAATATCATGTTAACATTTTAATTTAAGATTACTAATTTTAAAATTAATAATATATTTTACATAATTGTTTAATTAGTAATATGTTATGTTACAAAAAAATTATGAAAAAATATTGAATAAAGTTTTTATATCATGACACATATTTTAGAGATATTTTAGATGAAATATAAATTTTTAATCAATTTATATGATGACACATATTTTAGACCAAAATTTTCTAAAATTTTGGCAACTTAGAGCGTGAGAAATTATGATGAAATCATTTTTTGTGATGGCTATTATCCACTAGTGTTTCCGACAGAAGTTCCACCAGCGATCCTACAAAAATTCACCCACGATAAGAAGTTTATGATGGAAATTTTTACATCAGAAGAGACAATTTTAAAACCGTCAAAAACATCCATTTTTCGCAATTTACTAAGATTTCCAATGAATTTTTTCGTTGGAAATTTATGAATTTCCTATAATGAGACCCCTAATGATTGGGGTATATTAGTAGAATATTCTATTAATGTTGGCAAAAATTTTGATTTTTTATTTTTGATGGCTGAACTCAACTATTGGATTCATATCTAGAAATGGTTTATTTCATCAAAAGTGGATAATGTTGATAATTAGTCTCTATAGTGGATTCATTAATGAGAATTCAATATTGACTCATAGACAACTCAATTTAAATGATGTCCAGAAGTTATAAAATAATTCCTCTTAAGTTGCGAACAACGTGAGGGATATCTCATAAAAATTTTGAATTATTATGATTTTTTAGAATTTTATATTATTTTAAATTGTATTATGATGAAAATTTAAATTATTAATGCAATATAGCTTAAAAAATTATGAGAAAATTTAAAGAAGTTATGAATAATGTTAAAGCTTTGTATAAATATGTGATCCCATTTATTTTTTATTTTAATTTGCTAAATTTTTTATATTATTATATGGTCTTATTTTTATTTTCTTATTAAATCAACTCTAAATTTGTCAAATTTGTCAAAGATGTTGGAAATGATCTAACCACAATCTCCAATAAACTTAGAGTCAACTAGTAGTATTTTTTATTTATTATGATTTATTTTATTTATTGATATAAATACTTATATTTATTCTATGTAGGGGTGCAACTGAGCCAAGCTTGCTCATGAGCTCACTTGAGCTCGACTTGGTAATAGGCTCGACGAGTCGAGCTTATTGAGCTCACGAGTCAAGGTCGAACATGATTTTGAGCTCGACATCATATCAAGTTTGAGCTCGAATAACCAACAGCTCGACTCACGAACTCGTCAAGCAACTCGAAGATGAAATCGCCAGTGGAGAAATGAAATAATAGTGTGCGGGAAAATGATGGACGCTGGCAACGAATTGACATTTACGATGGATGGAAGCTAGCAACACGGGAAGCTGGCGATGACACAAACATTATCACTATGGACGGACTGAGCTTGAAATGCTACTCAAGCAGCTCGACAAGTTTTTTTTTCCTCAGTTTAGTCGAGCTCGAGCTCGGTATTTGACAGTCGTGCTCGACTTAAACACCCTGTCTCGAGCTCGACTTGACTCGTTTGCACCCCTAATCCTATATATGATATATATAATCATTAACATAAGAAATTATAAGTCATGTTTGTATTTCATAACCAGGTTGACAGACTAAATAGACATAGTGAAAAACCTGGCATTTGTCTCTAGTAGACGAACTTTTATTACGTCCGGTGTAAGGACGTAGAGGAACATCCGGTTGGAGGCAAAATCCAGCCCAAAAACTCGGTATTTGCTTGGTACAACTAGGCATTATTTGATATTAACGAGGAATACCGCTCTTTGAAGACCAATACCGAGTTATACCGAGCTGTACCGAGAAATACCGAGTTGTACCGAGTTTTTCTAGGAAAATCTCGGTACAAATTTTGTATAACTCGGTATTTCTCGGTTTAGCTCAGTATAACTCTGTATTGGGTCTTCAAATGATGGTATTCCTCATTATTGTTTGTTATTGCTCGGTATTTGCTCGGTACAACTCGTTTTTTGGCGGGATTTGGCCTCTCACCGGACGTTCCTCTGCGTTCGGTCGGAGGACGTAATAATTGTTCCTAGTAGACACTATTATCACCATTGTTTAAAGGCAACTCATGTTGCTTGCTACCATCATGTGACAATTAATATCATAAAGAAGTTTCAAATTTATATTTGTCACATGAGGAATATCACTTAGTTTTTAAATTTTATAGAAGAGTTGTGTTCATAAGTATTTTTGACAAAAAAAAAAAAAAAGTCTTAAGAACACATCCATAGCATCTTTTCTTGAGCATTAAATTAGTTTTGAGAGATAGGCTATTACTTTTTTTCCTAGAAACTAATATAACTTTATGATTACTTTGATATTTCTATGAGCTTCAATAATATTACGAAGAGTGAACAGTCTTATCTAATATCTACATTGCTAGAATTTTCTTTTTTTATATATAAATATCATTTATCATTTTAATATGTGATAAATAATTTTAAAATTAATAATATATTTTACATAATTATTTAATTTGTAAGATATTATAAGTCATTAAATTTTTATTTTCTTATTAAATCAACTCTAAATTTGATCAAATTTGTCAAAGATGTTGGAAATGATCTTACCTCAATCTCCTACAAACTTAGAGTCAACTAGTAGTATTTTTTATTTATTATGATATATTTTATTTATTGATAAAAATACTTATATTTATTCTACATAGGGGTGCAACTGAGTTAAGCTGGCTCGTGAGCTCACTTGAGCTCGACTCGGTAATAGGCTCGACTAGTCGACCTTATTGAGCTCATGAGTCGAGGTCGAACATGATTTTGAGCTCGACAGCTTATCGAGTTTGAGCTCGAATAACCAACAGCTCGACTCACGAACTCGTCAAGCTGCTCGAGGATGAAATCGCCAGCGGGGAAATGAAATAATAGTGCATGGGAAAATGATGGACGCTGGCGACCGATTGACATTGATGATGGATGGAAGCTAGCGACACGGGAAGCTGGCGATGACATGGACATCGTCACTATGGACGGACTGAGCTTGAAATACTGCTCAAGTTGCTCGACAAGTTTCTTTTTTCCTCTGTTGAGTCGAGCTCCAGCTCAGCATTTGACAGTCGTGCTCGACTTGAACACCCTCTGTCTCAAGCTCGACTCGACTCGTTTGCACCTCTAATCCTATGACATATTTAACCATTAACATAAGAAATTATAAGTCATGTTTGTATTTCATAACCAGGTTGACAGACTAAATAGACTTGGTGAAAAATCTGGCATTTGTCAATAATAGACACAATATTCTCACTATTGTTTAAAGGCAAATCATGTTGCTTGCTACCATCATGCATGTGGCAATGAATATCACAAAGAAGTTTCAAAATTATAGTTGTGTTCATAAGTATTTTGACAAAAAAAAAAAGTCTTAAGAACACATCCATAGCATCTTATCTTGAGCATTAAGTTAGTTTCGAGAGATAGGCTATTATTTTCTTCCCTAGAAACTAATATAACTTGATGGCAACTTTGATATTTCTATGAGCTTCAATAATATTAGGAAGAGTGAATAGTCTTATATAATAACTACGTACATTGCTATAATTTTTTGAGACACAGAATGCAAAAATGGTTCTTCAATAGATATAATAAAACATCTAATAAAAAAATTATTTTAGTTAAAAGTTGACCAAACATTTGAGAAACTCTTAATATAGCTCAAAATACTATCGTTTATCACATTAGTCAATTTGAACTGTATGCCTTTGATAGTGACCTTAACAATGATATTAATTTATAGAAGTCTAATGAAATATATATTAAAATGATTTTAGAAAAAATATATATATTAAAAGTCGAATGTTATTGTAATTTATAATCAATTTTGATAAACATATATAATAAGTTTAATGAAATGATTAATTTTTTTAAACATAACTATCTCGAGAGATTGACTAATAAAAAAATTAAATTTTTTTGAACACATCGAATAAAATAAATATCATTTATCATTTTAATATGTGATAAATAATTTTAAAATTAATAATACATTTTACATAATTATTTAATTAGTAAGATATTATATGTAATTAAAAATTAGAATGAATTTGAACAAGTTCAAAAATTATTAAAGAATATTCAATAAAATTTTTATAGTATGAAATATATATTAAAATGATTTTAGAAAAAAAATATAAATTAGTTTTAATTATATTTATCATCCTTGAGATCCTTATTATTCTAAATCAATTTATATGATACATTTTTAAAACACATAGAAAGTAAAATACATAGAGTATGAAAACATTGCATGCATGAAACCATAAAAAAATCTCAATCAATAATCATCACACTCATTGCACGTGTCCCCAAATGTACTGATTAGCACAATGCAACTTATTTAATCTAATTTCGAGCATAACAAGAAATAGCGGTGACCATGAGTGACACAACTCGTCGTCATGCTCTGTTGCATGATGAACAAACAACTAGTAAGACTCAATCAAACTGCTTTCTTTTAACTCCAGCGGATGAATGACTGATTGGTTTTTGTTCAGATGTTTGTTTTGACGAGGAGCCTAATTCAAAATTGGTTGTAGTCTTATTAGTAAATGTTGCTGCAGAATTAACCCATTCATCAACCAAAACTCTCCAGCTTTGAATGAGACATCGAACAAGTTTTCGAATTTTTCTGGAGTTGTGCTTTCGCATAGCAGACACTGTTTGTCCAATTTTAGTTATGTCTAACACATCTACAGATAATTGCATCTGTTGTAGAGCCCTTAGCGATTCATACAAGATAGAATATGATTCAGACTCATGTAATTGATTGTTGGACAAGATCACCTCCTTTATCCTCATCACCTCTCCAACTATTTGATCATTCTCCTCGAGGTTGTCGGTGTTGGAGTTTTTCACTATTTGATCATTCTCCTCGAGGTTGTTAGTGTTGGAGTTTTTCTTCACCTCCTTGAGAGATTCAGCATCGCCATTATTAAGAAAAAGATGGCAGGTGTATAACTTCTCAACAATCATATCCCTTCGGTCCTTAAATTCATTGGGGAAATCTTCAGCAGCCACGAGAATCGCTTTATTGATCAACTCGAATATGTCTGATGTTGCGCTGTTAAAAAGTTTTCTCCAGTAATCCAGTGAACCTTTTGCCTCCGCCATTTCCACCAAAGAACAGCTTTAAGTAGAATATTCTTCTCACTCTTTCACTAATCAAAGTGGTAGAAAAAGAGAACAGAACAATAATAAAAATTTGATTTTTCTAATATCGGTTAAATACTTTCTTGTTCTAATTTGATCCATAATGTATGGAGAAATGAGCGAACTAACATAAACAGATGGCATCTTTGCCAAGTTCTTTTAAGAAATTGTTGAATAGACTTTCCTTAAAGAAAGCATGAAACTCTCTCCATAGCTTGCCAAATGTACGGTTGTTGTAAATAAAATACATGATAGATTATTTAGGCTGATTATATATTACTTTAATGATAAATTCATACAAGACTGAGGCTTATTTGGGACAGCTTTCTTATTGCTTTTTAAACTAATTTTTTAGTAAAAAATTATAAATTTTTTTATTAAAAAGTTGTTTTAATAAGCAATAAAAAAACCATTCTAAATAAAATTGGAATCTGAATAAGACTCATATAATTTATTGTTGGAAAGGTCCTCCTTTATCCTTATCACCTCTCCGACTAACTGAACATTATTGTCAAGATTGTCGTGGTTGGAGCTATTGTTCTCCTTGTTGAGATACTCATCATGACCATTTTTGACAGAAGATGGAAATTACAGAGCTTCTCAACAATCAGATCCCTTACGTCGTTAACTTTCTTTGGGTAATCCATCGTTGCTATGTGGATCGCTTTGTCGATCAACTTAAATATATGAGATTCCATGCAGCTGAAAAATTTCCTCCTGTATTCCAATCAACATTTTGCATCTTTTCCATTGACATTGCCACAAACAAAGATCAGTTCATGTTACAGATGATTTTGCATTTCTTAAGAAGAATATTCTTCTCACCCTTTCATTGATCTGAAACAGAGGAGATTGAGAACAGAATCAGATCATTCTTATTTGATCCTTTATTTCTGGAGAAATCAACAAACTAATAGAAATTGATGGAGGCTATGCCACATTTTTTTTTAATTATTTGATTAGCTTTTGTTAAAAAAGCCTGAAAGTTGATGCATAGCTTGCCAAACAGGTATTGTGTATTGCTAAGGTTTTGTTTAAGGAAGATTTTTTACTGCTCTCTAAAGCAGGTTTCTAACATAAAAATTTCCTGAAAACAACAGAAAAATAGTGGCAGAAAGCTATACCGAAGGTTGCCTAAATTATGTGGTTTAATGTCATTAATATGCTAATTAATGTTTTTATGGGAATATAGTATAATGTAAATTATCAATTTTGCTTCATATTTTTATATAATAATTAAATTTATTTAATAGCAACAATTATTTATTTTGTTCTATATGAGGATTGGTTTAAAGTTTTTATCTTCATTTCAAGAAAACTCTTTTTAAAATTTGTTTTGATCTTAGATTAATATTTAATTAGTAATTACTTTTCTTAAATTATACCTTTTTATTTTTAACATTTCACATATTATTTACAAATTTGCTCTAATCTTTTAAGTTAAAAGATTATAACTAATTCTCAAATAATATGATAAATTCAATTTATATCTAAGATAATTAAGTGTACCCTCGTAAGTATCTCTCTATTTGATTTCAGTGTTGCTTTGTTTGGACTATTTTTTTTTCCTTTCTAAAATAGCTTTTTAATGTAAAAATTTTTAAACTATAAATTTTTGTAGTAGAAAGCTGCTTTCGAAAGCAGCAAGAAAGCTGTACCAAAATTAAAGAAACCTATAAAAATTTATGTGGGGTTATTTAGTTATTTTTGACAAAAATATTTAATTAGTCTTTATAGTAGAGAATAATTATTTTTAATTAAGTGATTGCTGTTTAAATTATTGTTATAACATTTTTATGAAAATATGTATTAACAAAGCAAAACAAAAATAAAAATAAATATCGATATATGTTTGCATCAAGAAAATCATATAAATTTTAGAAATCGTATGAACCATTTTTTGCGACGTCTATAATCCACTAATTATTCCAAACAATTTTCTTCATTGGAAATTTATGAATTTTTTATAATGATTGAGGTATATTGGTAGAATATTCTATTAATATTGGCAAAAATTTTGAATTTTTATTTTTGATGGCTGAACTCAACTAGTGGATTTATTTTTATTTTCTTATTAAATCAACTCGAAATTTGTTGAAATTTGTCAGAGATGCTAGAAATAATCATACTACAATCTCATATAAACTTGGAGTCAACTAGAGGTATTTTTCATTTATTATATATAATAAATTTTGATAAATTTTAATAAACATATATAATAAGTTTAATGAAATGATTAAATTTTTTTGAACATAAACTATCTCGACAGATTGATTAATAAAAACATATGTGTTCAAAAAAATAATGTTTTATATATGTTTTTGAACACATATGTAATAAAATAAATATCATTTATCATTTTAATATGTGATAAATAATTTTAAAATTAATAATATAGTTTACATAATTATTTAATTTGTAAGATATTATATGTAATTAAAAATTACAATGAAATTGAACATGTTCAAAAGTTATTAAAGAATATTCAATAAAATATTTATAGTATGAAATATATTTTAGAATGATTTTAGAAAAAAATATAAATTAATTTTAATTATATTCACCATCCTTGAGATCCTTATTATTCTAAATAAATTTATATGATACAATTTTAAGACACATAGAAATAAAAAATAACCCTATAATCCTATATATATATATGAAATATTTAAGGTATGAAAACATTGCATGCATGAAACCATAAAAAAATCTCAATCAACAATCATCACACTCATTGCATGTGTCCCCAATTGTGCTGATGAGCACAATGCAACTCATTTAATCTGATTTTGAGCATAACAAGAAATAGCGGTGACCATGAGTGACACAATTCGTCGTCATGCTCTGTTGCACGATGAACAAACAACTAGTTAGACTCAATCAGACTGCTTTCTTTTCACTCCAGCGGATGAACGACTGGTTGGTTTTTGTTCAGATGTTTGTTTTGACGAGCAACCTAAACTAAAATTGGTTGTAGACTTATTAGTAATTTTTGCTGCAGAATTAACCCGTTCATCACCCAACACTCTCCAGCTATTAATGAGACATCGAGCAAGTTTTCGAATCCTGCTGGAGCAGTGCTTTAGCGTAGCACGCACTGTTCTTCTAATTTTAGTTGTCTTTAACACATCTACAGATAATTGCATCTGTTGTAGAGTCCTCAGCGATTCATATAAGATATAATCATATTCAGGCTCATGTAATTGATTGTTGGACAAGATCACTTCCTTTATCCTCATCACCTCTCCAACTATTTGATCATTCTCCTCGGGGTTGTCAGAGTTGGAGTTTTTCTTCACCTCCTTGAGAGATTCAGCATCGCCATTATTAAGAGAAAGATGGCAGGTGTATAGCTTCTCCGCAATCATTTCCCTTCGTTCCTTAAATTCATTGGGGAAATCTTCAGCAGCCACGAGAATCGCTTTGTTGATCAACTCGAATATGTCTGATGTCGCGCTGTTAAGAAGTTTCCTCCAGTAATCCAGTGAACCTTTTGCCTCCGCCATTTCCATCAAAGAAAAAAAAAATCACAGCTTTAAGTAGAATATTCTTCTCACTCTTTCACTAATCAAAGTGGTAGAAATAGATAACAGAACAATAATAAAAATTTGATCTTTCCAATATCGGTTAAATACTTTCTTGTTCTAATTTGATCCATAATGTATGGAGAAATGAGCGAACTAACATGAACAGATGGCTTCTTTGCCATGTTTTTTTAAGAAATTGTTGAATGGGCTTTCCTTAAAGAAAGCTTGAAACTCTCTTCATAGCTTGCCAAATGTACGGTTATTGTAAATGTATGTATATAAATTAAAAAAAAATAAAAATAAATAAAAAAATGTATATAATCGCTCCACATATGTTGACTGACATCTGATTTGAATATAGATATGCTAGTTCGAATTATCTCGACGTTCTAGAGGAGATCATGCAGTTCAATTCACAGGATTTATCATGATTAGGGGTGTCAATATTTGACCCGACCCAAAAATCCGACTTGATTCATACTCAAAATTTTTGGGTTTGGGTCAACCCGAACCCGAACTGGGTCGTGCATGTACGGGTTAAGGATTTGACTAGTTTGTAAAACTAGGTCAGGTTCGAGTTAGGGATTTTGATCCGTTTGTAAACCCGGGTCGAGTTCGGATTGACCCAGAAACCCGAAATCAATTTGATTTGACCCATTTTTAATTGATTTAAGAGAGTTTCAGAAGATTGTTATGAAATAAGTAAATATTATTTTCACAAAATAATAAACCATGCCCAAACTTTTTTTTTTTTTTTGGTTAAAACCCACCAACGGGCCTACGCGTTAAATAAGGGAAAAAGTTACACAGTCCTTAAAGGGTTCTCTAGCTCACTAATGCTCCAAAGAGCTACAGGAAAAATTAAAAAGGAACCTAAGAGCCTGAGATCCCTACTACAAAAAATTACAATAATATCTAGTAACATTCTATTAGTCAAAAAAAGAAAGGGAACAAAGAATAACATTCAGCACGACCCTTCCAGCAACAAACAGATTTAGTGAACGATATTACCGGAGTTTTAGCAGTAGAAGATCCCGCCATAACATCTCTAAAAGAACGAGATGTCGGAGCAGAGACAGAAGATCCAGCCACACCAGCCGCCTGGGTACCCGTTGTTGAAGGCGGAGCACCCCACACATCCGGTGACGGGGAAGACAAACTCTTCTCCATAAGGAGAAGAGAAAGCCAAAAGTCAGAGCAGAAAAGAGAAACCTTTTCAAAAGAGACGAAAAGGGAGGGAGATCGCCGGAGAAACGATCGGGAAGCGAGAAAGCAGAGGAGCCGCAAAATCGCCTAGAAAATCGCCAGAGCAAAAAAAACCCTAGCGAACGAAGCAAGAGAGGATATCATGAAGGAATAGGGTGAAACCATGCCCAAACTTAAGTAAGCTTGGTTTATTTTAAATTGATGTAAGTAAATCTTACTTTAATTCGATTTAGGTTTAAATAACTCGAATTAAATAAAAATATTTTAGTAAAAAATTAAAAGAAGAAGGCCGGCTTCTGGTTGACCCGGACACAAAGTGGGTTGGGTTCGAGTCCGAAAAACCGACCCGTTTGTAAGCATGTCGGATTCAGGTTGGGTTAAAAAGTGTGAGATTAGATTCAGGTTTGACCCGAAACCGACCCAAAACCCGATTTTGAAGCCCTAGCCCTGATAAAAGATCATCCCCATTTTATCTGGTATAAAAAAAAAGGTGGCTGGCATGAGAGTCAAGATCATAATACAGCAAAAATAAGAAATTCATACATAGACGACGACAAATTTGTTCTGACTCTCTTCACCACCTGCAATTGGAAGACATGATACAGAAACAGAGAGAAAAAACGAGAAGAACTATTTCTTCAAGACAACAAAAACTCAAGCAGCCTTATTTCTTTGAATCCGAAAGTATTTATACAGAAGAAATATGTAACAGAGAGGCTATACAGCAGCTACACATACATCAATATATCTATATGGAAACTTATTTCTAAATTTTGCTCGACGCTCCGACGTCAAATAGAGACAATTAAATAACCATGAATGAAGATTTTTTCCCCTAACTTTTGATGTCTTATCCTAATTTCTTTTTCGATCGTCGTCGTTTCTCATGTGACTCCATTGATATATCATGTGGATCTATAATTTTTATCATTCGTCGCTTCTTTGCATTTTCTATTCTTTGATATCCTTCATGAAGCTTCCACTTCGAAATCTCCAGCTTGATCGACGCATCTGAAGCTTCCTTCAACTGCTTTCTCTTCACTCCAGCAGATAAATGCCCACTTGGTTTTTGCTTCAAAGCTTGTTTTGACGAGCAGACAAGTTCAAAATCTGGTTTGTTGAGCTTGCTAATAGAATAATCTGTAATATTATTTTCAGAAGTTGCAGCAATAGGTTTAGCCCATTCAACAACCAGCGCTTTCCAACCTTTAATGAGAGTCCTAACAAGTTTTTGAATCTGGCTACAGTTGTGTTTTCGTAAGGCATTCACAGTTCTTCCAATTTCAGTTTCCTTCAGAGTTTTTACAGACAATGGCATCAATTGCAGACTTCTTAGTGATTCATACAAGAGTGAATCAGACTCATATAAGTGATTATTGGAAAGAATCTCCTTTATCTTCATCACCTCTCCAACTATCTGATCATTCTCTCCAGGTTTATCATAGTTTTTGGAGCCATTTTTCTCCTGCTTGGGATGTTCAACATCGCCATTATTGAGAGAAAGATGGAAGTTGTTGATCTTCTCGACAATCAGATCCTTTCTATCATTAAATTCCTTTGGGTAATCCACTACCGCTACGAGGATCGCTTTGTCAATCAACTCAAAGATATCTGATTTCGCACATCTGAAAAATTTTCTCCAATAATCCAATGAATCTATTGTCTCTGCCATTGTCATTGCCACAAACAAAGGCGGCTCCTTTCCTAAAAGATTTCAGTTTTGTATGTAAAATATTTGTCTCGATCTTTCACTTATTAGAAATAGGAGAAATACGATAATCCAATAAAAATTTTGATCGCTTAAATATCACATAAATATCATATCATTCTAATTTGATCCATAATATTAGGAAGAATAAATGTTTTCCTTAAAAGATGCCAAAAACTCTTTTCATGGTTATATTTATGAAATAATTAAATTTAATAATTTACTAAATTTATACAAGTTTTATGCCAAATATGTTAAAGATTGATTAAAATTTATATGCATATTACAATTTTTATGCCAAATTTGTAAAAAATTGATTAAAATTTATATGCATCATAATTATATGGCATTGAATAATTTTAAACAAATTATATATGAAAAGAATGTATTTAATTTAAAATTAACTAAATTTAATAAGAATCATAATTATTCAAAGAACATAAAGCACAATTAGAGAAAAGATACCAACTCTACCACAAAAGGTTTAAAGAGATAATATGACAAAGGAAAATAATGGTACTATTTCTTAATGGTGGCATTTATAACCATCATATTTTTGTACATTTAATTTTAAAAAAAGAAGAAGGAAAGACAACATATATATTATACTTGGTTTCTATTATAATTTTGTTACCATTTATTACATGATTTTGTATATATAATTCCTATTACTTTGGTTGGAATTATGGACGGATCCATCCTATACCGAGGGTTGGAAATTACCACCCCCCCCATGGGATAAATAGTCTTATGTAAAGCATCATAGGCTTTACATCATATATATATATATATATATATATATCTTGGGAATTTAAACTATAAGAAAAATAGTGTATATCATACCAAAAATTGAACATGTACAACAAATGTGTAAATTATAACTTCTTTCCTCAAATTTTTATGTTTTTTTTTAAATTGTTATATGTAAAGCCCTATGATGCTTTACATTAAATTTATGGAGTTGTTTGATGGTGTGGCTTTCATGTCCATCCCCAAAGACCAAATTGGAACAAAAAATTACATAGTTGTGGTGATATTCGATATCATTTTCATCCGAAGAAGTTTCAGCAGGAATCCTGATGATGAAGATGCTCATTGTTCACATCATGAAAGCTTTAATAGAAGATATGGTAGCCCTGAAAATTCTATAAGATGTAATTTCTATATATCCAAAATCCAAATTACAATGGCATCACACCATTCATTGAATGGACCTATCACCAACTAACTCCATTTAATTACATATGAACTAAACAAATTATATGTATAACTTCTCATAAATAAATCAACAAGAAAGTTTAATACATTCATAACAGACTGATATAAATCATATATCATAACAGATTGATACAAATCATAACATACTGATACAAATCATAACAGACTGATACAAATCATATATCATAACAGACTGATACAAATTATAACATACTGATACAAATCATATATCAGAATAGACTTATCAAATGTCATTTTTCCTAATGTAAAGTGTACAATTAGAATGCAGAAATATACGTTATAAGAAAATGAAAAAAAAAAATATTTATATAGAAGATATATCTGAATGTAAGAAAATAGAAGGCATAGTTTTATTTATAGAAGACATTTGACTATGTGCATTTTATACTAGAATACATGCCATGTAATAAACCCATGATTATACATCCTTATATCATCATCTCATTTGATGAAAAAATTTCCGAAGCTGGCATACTTAATGTATATATGCAAAATTTACTTTGCTTTCTCTACCCAGTCAAATCACGTAGAAGCTGAGCTCCCATCAAGTTCCTATAAGGAATGCTTTGTCCCTCCCCCACGAGTACTAAGAACTGCATTGCATCGCCTTCATCATCACCCCAACCCCGACCCTAATCTTAATCAGAATTTCGACAACCTTGAAGTTGATCACTTTGATTCCTACCATGGCCGGGAGCTCACACTAGGGCCATGGTAGGAATCAAAGTGAACAAATTCAAGGTTGTTGAAATTCTGGTTAGGATTAGGGTTGGGGTGGTGATGATGATAGATGTGAGAGAATGTGGCTCATCAAGGTGGTGGTGAT